GGTTTGCAAATATCTTCTCCCAATTGTTAGGTTGTCTTTTCGTTTTGTTGATGGTTTCCTTTGCTGTGCAGAAGCTTTTTAGTTTGATGTAGTCCCATCCCACTAATCTGTATTAATCAGAACATTTTTAAAACAGTCTCTGACCTTGAGTTTGTGCCCAGATCCTTGTGAAACGCAGTACCTTTTGCATGCTGCACATGTCAGGAATTCCAGCTCCTCTCCCTAATTAAAACATTCATTTTTAATATCAGGGGTGCTACAGAGGGCTATGATAGTTTGCTATTATTTTGAATGCCATAGCGTGTATTAAATTTCCTTCTTGCAGGGCTGAACAATTAATATCAGACACTGGTCTCTGGGCTCAGTTTAGTCTCCATCTTCTCATCTTATTTTTTTTTTCAGCTCTCTTCTTAAACATCAAAGGAAGAAAGACATGCTTTTAAAGAGCACATTTTATTCTCATTCTCTGTCTCTCTGTCTCTGTCTGTCTTTCTAATCAAAGCAATATTGTTGGGGATAAGGCCAAAGATTACTTTGTTTTGGAAAAATAGATGAACCAAACAAGAAACAGCCTTAAAAGGCAATGCGTGGTACATCAGAGGACACCAGTGTAATTTTTCCTTTCCACGTACTTTCTGTTAAAATATATTTGGAAATTTTTTCCTGGCAGATTGTCCTTTGTATCCAGGGTTATTTGGTAAACAACTTTGTGATTAAAGCAAGAGACAAATCACCGATGACCATCATGAGCATCCAGATAGTTTCAGCCCTGGTGTTAGTTCTGAGCCCTTTAGGCTGTGTTATCATAGTGGCTCTGAAGCTCCAGCTTCCAGATGTCTTTAAGGCCTGGCTGGCCATGATCTAATAGGGGGAGCTACCTGCCCTACCCTATATTCCTCAGATATTCTTTTCGTGATTTAAAATCTGTAAATTAGCTAGGCCAGTTATTCTCAAACTTTCCTATGTATCAGACTCACCTAGAGGGTGATTAAAATACAGGTTTCTGGGCCCGACCTCCGGAGTTTCTGACTCAGTAGATCTGGGGTGGAGCACAAGTGTTTGCATTTCTAACAAGATCCCTGAGGGATGCTGTTCCTGCTGGTCCAGGACGACATTTTGGGAACCACTCGGCTGGGCGATATTTTCCCCACACCACTCCTTTGTTCAGGGCCCATCAGGGAGTGAGACTGAAGTGGTGCAGCTCTTCACACATTCTTCATGACATAAAGGGAATTGAGTCCCATTTCTTCTAGTTTGATCAAATTTTTGTTATCCTTAGAAATGGAGTCACCATTGTTTTTAAAAGGTAAAACTGCTGCCCTTCAGTGCATAGAGTTGTTCCTACCCTGTTTTGTTTTAACCTTTTTTTTTTTCATTGATGGCATTATTCAATTACTTCATTACTTTGATAAGAAAACCAAATATAGCCCTTTGTTGGGAATTTTTATCTTTCAAAGTAAATTGAAATGGTTTTATGTTTTGTTCCTAGGAAGTTTACTTGATTTCTTAAAAGATGGAGAAGGAAGAGCTCTGAAATTACCAAATCTTGTGGACATGGCAGCACAGGTAGGCCCCGTGATACGTTGATTCCTGCCTTAGAGTTAACGACGTGTAAGTACATCGAGTCACAATGTAACGTATGTGTCGTGTTCCCTGGGTCTCCACAGGTTGCTGCAGGAATGGCTTACATTGAGCGCATGAATTATATCCACAGAGATCTGCGATCAGCAAACATTCTGGTGGGGAACGGACTCATATGCAAGATTGCCGACTTTGGATTGGCCAGATTGATCGAAGACAATGAGTACACAGCCAGACAAGGTGAGCACTTGAATGAGGATGGCTCATGGTCACATCCTCGAGGACAGCCGCTTACTGCCTAACCTGTCCTCCCTCCTTCCCTGCCCTTCCTCCAGAAAATACTGAAATGGCATTCTTCGGCTGGGTTTTTTGTTCTTGATCTGGCAGGGATCGGACAGCTCTGCAGGTGGGAGACTGTAGTGGGTTCAATGGATGGCTGAGATGTTGCTTTCTGGTGAGTGAGTGTCTGCCGATGTGGTCCTCCTGGCTCGTGCCGCCCTCCTCACAGCGTCCAGGCTTGGGACACTTTGCCTTTGGAGAAAGAGGGCTGTGGAAAGCCAAGAGATCAGACAAGTAATAGTTATCACCCCATCAGAGTCTCAGCAAAAACAGAAGGCATGCTCATTGGAGAATTTAATAAAGGAGTTATTTACAAAGGCATGGGCAGGGCTTAGGAAAACAACAGGGCATGATGCAGTATCCCAGAGCTAGTGACAGCAATGGGCCCGCGGCCTGAAAGGCAGGGGCAGGGAGTGGGCACCAGAACTAAGAACAAGCAGCTGTGAGGAGAGGCCACCTTTGGTCAAGAGAGGCAGCAGAGGTGGATCAACATGATCTCCTTCTTCCGCCATCCTCCAAATCTCCTGCCACACCCAACTAGAAGCCAGAAGTCAAAGGAGCCCATTGGTGAGCCCAGATGGGTCCAGAGCAGAAAGAAGAGTAGAAAGCGGATGTAGAGAGAGGACAGAAGATAACGATAGAGTCGGTCGAACAGTTCCATCTCCTTTAAGCATCTCCCTCCATCCCACCCCCTCCTGAGATCTGTAGAAATTAGCCTCTAGATGAAACACATCCCAGACCAGCAGCCACTCCAGGGGGGCAGCTTTTCAGGTGCTTTCAGAGCACCAGATACCAGGGAGGGAATTCCAGGGTCATTTTCTGTCTTCCCGGATCTTCACATAGCGGTCAACAGGCAAATGTGTGGAATTAAGTGAGCTGTTTGTGATTGAATGTAGGCTCCTCTTGTAGAATATAATGTGCATGTCTGAAGGAAGTGGGTAACCTTTGTCGTCGTTTTTTTAATAATTTTATTTATTTATTTATTTTTCCCCCAAAGCCCCAGTAGATAGTTGTATGTCATAGTTGCACATCCTTCCAGTTGCTGTATGTGGGACGCGGCCCCAGCATGGCCGGAGAAGCGGTGCGTCGGTGCGCGCCCGGGATCCGAACCCGGGCCGCCAGCAGCGGAGCGCGCACACCTAACCGCTAAGCCATGGGGCCGGCCCTTTGTCGTCGTTTTTAACCAAAGCCTAGTCATTCTGAGCAAGGCTGAGCAGTGACTAGAATATATTACAGCATGGCACTTTCTACTGGATTTCATAATGGCCACCTCTGGAATTCTTATTCTTCTTTCTTTTTTAATTCTTTCATTTCATGCCAATTCTTCCCTCTTTTTATCATTCTCAGCAGTCTCAAGTGATGAGGAAAAACATTAAACTAAGACCCTGGCTCATACAGATACTGTCCAAATGCTAAATTACATGTCGGTCGGACAGCTCAGCTATTTGAATTTCCCCAACCCGTGGCAGTTCTTGTCCTGGAGCCAAATGCCCACCCAGCGAGCATGCCCCAGCATCTCACACACACGCACACAGTGCGGGGCCAGATGGCGGGCCGTCTCTCTGATCAAAGGCACACGGGCGGCTTTGATTGGCACTGGCAGCCCAGAGAGAAATGGAGACGTGATTTTGAGTCAAGGTGAGCCGAGAGGGTCTGAAGTGCCACTGGGTCTGAGCCCTGGCCCTAAATGAGAGAGCTTACCCTGAGGCAAACGTGTCAGATCCCGACTCACAGACCTGGGAGGAGAGGAGAGGAGAGCGGGTGAAGGTTAGGAGACGTGAATATTTGACTTGGGAAGGGGTGAGAATGGAGTGGGTCTTGGCGGGTGGTCGTGTAAGCGTCCTTCCTTGGGTGAGCAGAGTCCTGGTGCCGGAAGGAGGGTGCAGGATTGTTTCTGTCTTTCGCTGGACTTTGGGCTGTATAGAATGTGGGTAACAGCCTTGACCATCAATAAATGAGAGGGTTGCAGGGCCAGAAGCCGCAGGATGCTGGCAGGGGCGCTGTTGCCAGGGCCTAGATATTTAATTCATGGAGTGAGATCCCTCTGGCTGCGGCCCTGGGGGATTGGGGCCCCAGGGGACGGTGTGTGGGGAGCCCCTCACGGGTTTCCCCTCACAGCTTACAGCTGCTATGGACCAGGGCCAGAGTGGCCCCTCAGCCCTGGCCATCAAGCCCCACCTTCCTCTCCAGTTAGCTGACCTGAGTGCCCTTCTGCTGGCTTCCTTGCCTCCACCATCACTTTCCCAGATGCTGTCCTGACGCCTTTCAAGGGATCAGCTTCACACCCTTTGTACCGTGTTTCCTTCACTTTCCACATAGGGTATCCCACCCTTCCCTCTTAAAATGCTTTTTTCTTCTCTCTCCCCTTTCACAAATATCTTCAGATCCATTCCAAACACTGGAAAGAGATAAGTAAGGAGAAGTAAATGAACTGGAGAAAAAAACAAAGGCTGTGGGGCCCCAGGATTTGCAAGGAGAATAAAAGAAATGCTGTGCTACAACAGGGGAAAAGGAAGGACGAGGGGCATTTATAGAATGCCTATCAAGTGCCAGGTCCAAGCGGGTAAAGAACAATAAATACAATAGAAATAGGCTCAGAGAGGTTAAGTGACTTGTACAAAGTCACACAGCTGGTAAAAGGGCAGAGGCAGGATTTGAATCCAGGTATGGCTGGCACTATTGCATCTGCCCTCATAAGCTATACTGTCTGCCTCTCATCAAGACAGGGATTAAAAGAACAGAAGATAATTGAGATTAGTCATAAATCCCTTTCCCCTTTATTTTATGGAAGTTTTTAAGGGGCACCTTCTAATGTGCATGTGTGAGGGAGTTGGAAAGACCTTCATTTTCCGGCTCTGGGACAACCCAGCTGTTTATAAAATTCCTCCCAGGGCTCTGCCCTGCCATGGCCTCTTTGCAAGGCGGAAAGGGCCTGGTGTGTGTCTGCAGCTGTGCTCTGCAGATGGCATGCGTGCTGCGTGCTGGAGTTTCTGCTGGGGGTTCAGCAGCGCCTCCAGACAGCTGGTCCACGTGCCTGATAATATTTGCAAGTCGGATTTTATGATACCCCCAGGCCACAGCCGGGCTGCATCTGCCCGCAATTATGGAAGTGTAGGCAGTGTTCAGAAGCACGTGCCGAACACAGGTATTTTAGGACTGTGAGTGACAGTTGTTTCTCAACGTGGTTGTGAGTTTCCCATCTAAAGGCACACTGAAATGTCCGTCGCCCCCTGGGTGGATGAGGTGGCATCTCTCAGGGGACAGGCAGAATTGTAATTTGGACCTGTGTTCCTTTCCTCCCACCACCCACCACCCCACTGGACTGTAAGCAGAAGCCCCGTGTCAGGAAGAAGGTCAAGACCAGGGAAGGTGGTCCTCTGCCAACAGCATTCCAGAGGCAACTAGAAATTATTGGGTACTGCTCATTATCTGTTACCTGTACATCTCCCTCAATTATAGCAGATAGATCTTCTTCAGTCATAAACTCTTTGCTAAATTCTGTCCAGTCAGGGTCTCTAAGCAGTGCCAACATTAATTATTTGAGTGCCTTGTCTGTGAAAGGGACTTTGCTAGGAGCTACTGCTATAAAGAAGCCTAAGACTGCACAGAGGCAGTCAGCCAGCGTGAGGAGGGACAGACAGGAGCATCGCTGATTTGAAACACAACTCCATCGCCTACCAGCTCTGGGACCTTGGGGAAGTTACTTAACTTTTCCACACCTCAGTTTGCTTATCTATAAAATGGAAATATATTTTACCTGCTTTGTTCTTTAATTTTTGCAAAGATGAAGGAAAACAGTACATGTCAAGTGTTTAGCACAGTGCCCCGCACATAGCGAGTGGTAAATAAAAGATACTCTTGTTAGTCTGTCCGGTACAAGACTAAGTTCTTGGGGCATGAGCAAATGCAAGGATGGAGTGTAGACACGATGGAAAGGCTCAGATGCCACTGGGGAAGGGGAGAGAGGAATCAAAGATGGTTCCCGAATAGTCAAATGCGAGTGGTCATGAGAATGGAGTTGCCCACAACAGAAACGAGTGAGTCAGGAAGATCTTTTCAGAGAAATAGGGCGAGTTTGGTTTTGGATCAGTGGAGCTCAAGGAGGTGGTGGTGGTGCATCCAAGCGAGGTGTCCAAGCGTAGAGAAGTCAGTCGGGGTGCCCTCCCCTGGGCCCACTGCCACAGGTCCTCACCTCCCACAGCCGTCCACACCACGTCACCACCACACAGCGGACCGTGGCCTCTCACCTCCACACTGCCTACCCTCCCCCTGAGGTCTGATCACAGCCACCTCCCTACCCCAGCCCTGCACCTTCACCCCAGAGTCCTCCCAGGCTAACCCCAGCCTTGCCTGTGCCATGGGTGCCACAAGGATCCGCCGTCTGTCCTGTTGTCCTCACACATCCATGCCACACCTGTCTCCTGGAACCACCAGCAAGGGCAGCTGTCACCAAGCCTTGCTTTCCAGGACTCACAGCCCCTCTCGCCCTCAGTTCCTCCAGAGATCACACAGACAGGAAACAGTGGGGGAATTCTTGACAGACTCGTGTTTCTCTTCATAAGCTTTCAGGAAGCTCAGCACTGACTAATGTTGATTTAAGCCTCACAAGTTCACATCCACCTGGCTTATGTATAAGAATGACTTGTTTTCTGGACACTTATTTTTTATTGAGCCATGATATACATACCATAAAATGAATAAATCTGAGGTGTACAACTCAGTGACTTTTTACATATGTCTGTGCCCCTGACACCACCCACAGATGAAGATCCAGGACACTGCCAGAACCCTAGAAGACCTCCTCATCCCCTTCCAGCCAGTAACCACTCCAGGGGTAACCACTCTTTTTACCTCTATTACCACAGATTCATTTTGCCTGTAATTGAACTTCATATAAATGAATCAGATAGTATTACTCTTTGTGTCTGTCTCCTTTCCCATCATTATGTCTGTGAGATTCAGCCGTGTTGCTGCATGTAACAGTAGGTTTTTCCTTTTCATTGCTGAGTAGTATTCCATTGTACAAATATTTCAGTTTGTCCATTCTATGGGTATTTTTAATTTGGGGCCATTATGAATTAAGCTGCTGTGGTGGCAGACGTATGCCCTCCTCTCTCAGGTATATTCCCAGGAGTGAAATCTTTAATCATAGGACAAGCCTATAGTTAGCATTTGTAGATACAGCCCTGCACATTTTGTGGGCATATATTTAAAGGCAGAATACACAGTGACTGTGTTTTTTACTGGTACTGTTCTTCCCTCCAGGCTGCTGAGGCAGCCTGGTGAGGCTGAGGAACCTGCGGTTAGAAGCTAGGAGGCCTGGGTTTGAACTAGCTCTGTTGCTTACAAGCTTGGTGTCCCCAGGCAAATCACTTAACCTCTCTGCGCCTCATTTTTAGCATCCATAAAATGGAAATAAAAATAATTACCTGACATAATTAGTGTGAATTAAATGGGCTGTCCATAAAAGCTCTTGGATGGTTGTAAAATATAAAAACCATTCTTATAACCTGGACTTTTTGTGTTTGATGTATATTTTCCTTGAAAAGGGTCTTGATTTTCTTACCTAAAAATTTTTTAAGAAAAAGACTTAGTAGTCAATAAAGAAAAATCAATCTTTTAAGAGAAAAAAATATATATGATTTCATTATGTTACAGCCAACTCTATTTACTGGGCAGTCACCACTTTGTATGGCGTCCATGCCCCCAGGGCCGCTCCACCCTGAACACAGCTGGGAGCCAGCGGTCTGCTCACCATCTTCCGCAGCACATTTTCCTTTTTTCTCATATTTGCCTTCTCTGTTGAGAGTTGTCCCTGCCTCCATGCTGCCTCCCTCGTTTTTAATCTTGTCAACTCTGAGTATCCAGTGGGCATCTCAGCAGCATCACTGATGGTTGTGCACACGCGCGCGCACGCACGTGCACAAGCACTATTAGAACAGTTCTCTCAAGTGTCTGTGGACCCAGTCTTACTGCTTCTCTACAGAGGTGATCTGGCCTGAAAATCAGCACAGAGCACTTAGTAGGTATTTAATAAATATTTGTTTACAGCGGTGGAAATCGCCACAATCGCTGTCACCTCTCCACACTCTTCCCAGACAAGCTTTCCTGCTCTCTGAGCAACGTGCACGGCTCTCTCGGGGAATTGGATACTGTTGTGACTGCGAGAACCTCCAGAGAGGGTTGTTCGCTACACCAGTGTTCCCTGCACACGGCCAGATTGCCTGTGGGGTAACCGGAAGCCCAGGAGCTTCAGAGCTAAAGAAGCCTGTGTTCAAATCCCAACTCTGCGTGTCCTGGTCTTGGATTTTGCAGAAGCTCCAGCTTCACTGAGCCCCAGCTTTCCCATCCGTGACAAAGGGTTGGTGGTGTTTCCTTTCAGGTGGTTAGGAAGATGAGAGAAGACAGTGGGTAGAAGCCATTGCATTTTTTTTTGCTCCTTCCCGCTCCTCCTGGCAGCACTTGGCTTTATGTCTGTTTGGATAGCCAGACCTCTTTCCTTCTTCGACGCACGCACACAGCCACCTAGGCACGCACTTACGCAGCTACGCACGTACACACCTCCTTGGTCTTTCCTGTCCTGCTCCCATCAGGGTCTCCCCACACGGAGGACCTGCCTGTTTGACACTCTGCGCTCCTGATTTGAATCATCACAAAGACAGAACGTAGAGTTGCTCTGTTTTGGGTTTGTTTGGGGTTTGTTTAAAGATGTAAATTAACGACAGGATCATTATTGAGGAAGCAAATGTCAAGGCAATTTAATCTTTGGATCTTTGGAATATGTGTAGAAACAGGGGCAGCCGAGACTTTGTATAAGACCTGCTTATGGTTAGGTTTGTGTATTAAATAGAAAAAAAAAAAATGTATCTGTTCAAATGCTCCCAGTATTGAGGGTTTAAGTTGAATAGATTATCATCTGGAGGATTAGTCACGTATAAATTAGACTGCAAAGAATTCATAATTGTTGCAGTTTTCATGTTTATTTCATGTTAAAAAATTGTTACTGCATAAATTAACACATTCTTTCATGGAGAACATATTTTAGAAAGATGTGTTACTTTAATAACTCTGTGTATTAGAAATCCCAGATGCCTGTACTAATTAAATATAATCAGATGTTGGATTCAAAAAGCACAGTAGCCATTTAACTCAAACAAGCAAGCAGCTAGGTTGACAAACACAGTCAGAAAGAAGCGGATCCCTGTTTCTTTCAAATTTAGAATTTCGCAATTCAGAACTGTGAATTCAATGCCTGTCCTTCCTTTGTATTACAGGGACTGGGGATTATCAGACTGAGAACGCCGGCTTTCCAGCTCAAGGGCTCCCGCAGAATTATTAATCAGCCTCTTCTGAGGCCCCTGTAATCCGGTGGCAGATCAAGGCTGATCTCGCCATGAGATGCCCTCCCTCTGCCCCTGTCGGCACATGCGTTTCTTGTTCTCTGTCAACAACAGCATTGCAATTCCCACACAGTGTGCCGTGACCTCAACAGCAAATGTCAGGGGGAGGCGGGGGAAGAACTCTTTTAATTATTGAGTTGAATCTAATTCTTCCCATACTGGGGAAGCAAACCATCCTTTGACGAAAAGCAAAGCCTTTCCAATGCAGCTATTGTTTTAAGTCCCGAGCAGGAAACGCGTTTGTTTGAATTGCCCACGGTCAGAGTTTATCATCTGTCCTGCGGGGCCGTCTGGTGGGCGGGGGGGTGGGAGAGGGGGGTGGACCGAGCGCCCTGGGCCAGGTCGGAGTCGTCTCTCCCGCTGAGCTGACGGGTTGCATGACTGCACCGAGCCTGCTTCTAATCAAGCCTCCCCATCCCCAGTTTGGTACACTTCCGTCACTAGGCAGCAAAGCGCCCTCATTTGTATTCCTCCGCTCGCAGCCCCTGGCTTCCACCGACATCTCTGAGAGGGATGCTTTGTTTATCTGCTGAGCCCCCGTGGGGGCTGCAGGGCCAGGTGAACCGGCAGGGATTGGGGGTGAGGCGGCCAGGGACTGGGCGATGGGTCTACAGACCATCACTTTCCCTGGTAGAAAGGACAGTGGAAAGCCAACGATTAAAACGAAAGGAAAAGGGGCTTTAACTCACGCTAGTCTACCCCAGTGTCTTTTAAGACTAAAACACCCCCCTCGTCTGGCAGCCCCCTGACTCTGCCCTGAGGAAGCAGATGGACTGCTGTCAGCCCTGGTCAGGGAGAGCCGCTTGTCGGAATATCTTTCCTCTTCATCTGCCCTGGGCAGTCACGTTTCGTATTCCGTGTGGGTGTCTCCCTCTCCTTTGTGCCTTCTCGGGCAGAGCAATTTGGCGATTGTTTCTAAGTGGTCAAGAGCAAGTCCTTGGTCTGTGCGTCCCCGGTTTCTTAGTAATCATCAAAAAGGAAGCAGATGGTCACCCTCTGTGATTTTAAAGTGTGTAAATAGGAACTGCAGACTGCCATCAAACATCAAAAATGTCACTTGGCTTCCTTGTCTTGCTTTCCTGGCGAAAGAAACTCCTGCATTTGCATCATCTGGATAATCAGGGAAAGGCAGTGCTTATGAAAACTACCCCAAGTCTTGAAGCCTCTGTTTCTTCCAGCCGGAGGAGGATGCACAGGAGCATAGCTCTGGTCTCCCCAGCATCCCAGGCACTGAGGGGGCCAGTTTAAAAAAGCAGCCTCAAAGTGGCTGTTGTCTTCTGTGTATCCTCTCTTCCTTCAGTTTCTTCCTGACCTACAACCAAACTCTCAATATGACCACCAGCTCTTCCCAAGCCGTGTCCCCAACCCCAGTGCTGGTCCTTGCTGCGTAGCATACTTTGTGGCGTGAAGTCAGACTCACCCAGGCTCACTGCAGCTTCTGGGGGTGGCTGGGTTCTCAGAATCATTTCTGTGTTGAGCTGCATCCCAGGCATCTGTTTATTACTTAGGTCTGAGTTCTCACCACAGCTCTGAACAGCTGCATACAGATGGTCACAGAGCTCTGCACACAGCTCTCTTGCCTTTTGTTCTAGATAAAAGTGCACAAAGGTAGTGTCTGTCCTACCGGGGCTGTGAATCAGAATTTTTATTCTGATATCGCTTCCCTTTTGGCTTTTGGAAAGCTGGAAAGATAATGGGAATTATTCAGAGCTTTGGTGTTCTAGAACAGCAAGCAGAGTTCCTCCTTCCCTCAGTTCCTCCCAAGGCAACTGCTTAAGCAAGTCCTCCCAACACAGGCTGCACTTTAGGTAAAGTCCCCTTGGTGGTCCTGAGATTTCCTTCCTGAGTAAAGGGATGAAATACCCATGATTTCAGGAGGTGCTCATTAATTTCATTCTTTACTTCTGTGTTGCCAATGAGAGTTATCCTGGGTTGTCACTGGTCACCATTGGGAGGAGGGTGATGGAGAAAGGCCAGTAGCTCAGAGCATCCTCCCCTCACCTTCTGACTCCCCCGTAGATGTGTAGAAGAAACGTGACAGCCTGCTTTCTGTTCTCCACGAAAGGCTCTCCTCCTCCTGTGTGTTTCATCTTCCTGTCCATCCTTCCTCAACTGCAAGACCCCAGGACTGGTGCCCCCATTCTCCCTGGTGCTTGGTTTGCTCCTCTTTGTCCGCTGGTTGTCTTGATTAGGTTTTCAATACTTGCTGATGGACCTTCCACCCCTTCTCTGTCGGGTCCTCGATTTGGGGCTCCCCTTGGAACTTTGCTCACCCCTCTTAGCCTGAATATTCCTTCTGTGGATTCAGTCACACCAGACTTTGGATTTATGCCTGGCTTATCAGCCTTTGTCTTTGCAATATGTTCAGGCCCTGCCTTTTGTCCTTGGTTCTTGTCTTCCTTGGCTGAACTTGTCCCTTCTCCACCCACATCCTCCCTACTCCCTATCTCCCTTTTTCTCAAACACCCTGCTCACTATTATGCATTTCAGATGGAATATCATCTCACTCTACTGTACGACTTACTTTTCATTTATTTTTATTTTTAAAACATGGTGCTAAAACCTTGTGAACTTAAAGTAGAAGTTGCAACAGAATGTGTCACGAGGAATAACTGCAGAACACACTGTTGTATTACTCCAGGCATGTTTGGAAAATTCGCAAGTCATTCTTTCGGCCTGGTGTGAAAATTGTGAGTTTTGCTTTGCCAGGTTTTATTGGGTTTGAACTCATTGTTTTGTTTGAATAACCACAAAGTTCCAGGTCAGGTCAGCTTTGATTTTGCCTCTTTCACAGGATATCCTGTCCTAGTCCTGCCGTAGCACCCCTCCCCCACCCTGTAATCAGCTTCCTGTTATTGGCATGGTTCGTGATTTCTTTTCCTTTATTCCCCAGAGTAATTTTAAAGTTGAAGTACTGCACGTTACTTAATACTGAATTTAATAATTTGCAGAGTTTGTGGCTTCATAATTAAAGAGGGCTCTGGATGGATCTTTGGTTCAGAAAACCAGTGTCCATTGTTGATGCTAATGCCTTTCCCCCTAGAAAATGCTATTAGGGCACCACTTGTATTCTCTGTAGGAAGGATTTGACTTCTTTTATTCTGTGCTGGCTTTGCCTTCTCCACCTTGGCCCAGATTTTTAGCCAGAGGGGATATTTTCTGAGACTGAGCTGTGGAATTGGCCTGGTCACCAGGGGAAAAAAAAGGCTTAACAGCCCAACTCACCACCAGGAGCTGGTAATATGAGCTGGGCCCCACCCGGGCCTGTCCTGGCCCCTGCCTTGAGCCTCACCCAGGGAGAATGGTGGGTCGCACTGCAGCATTTCAGTGTGGCCACATCTACCCGGAGCCTCCATTCCCTGTGCACTTCCTCTTTCCCCTCTCTCCTGAGCCCTCTTCTTCCTAAAGCCAGCGCCACAATTTAGCTCTCTGTTGGGTTTGCCTGTGAGCTCTGTCTCCTCAGCTGCCTGGAAAGTTCTAGGGCAGGAGGTGACCCGTGCTTGGTTTTCGCAAGAGTCCCTCCCACTGTGCTGGGGACTAACTGGATGGTCAGTAAGTTCTCAGTGATTGAGTGATGATCGTATTGAGTTTTCTTCATCCTCCTTCCCTTCTTAAAGTCTGGAGAGCTTTGGCTAACCTGGTGCAACCCAGTGCCTTTGCATTACTATCTAAATAAAATAGTAGCTGGCATTTAGTTAGCTATTACGAAGTGCCAAATGCTGTGCTAAGCCCCTTACATTATTTATAATTCTCACCACAATCCTATGAGATTTTCATCACCCCCAATTTACGGACAAGGACACTGAGACTGAGGGAGGTTTTAAATGGTCACCCAGCAAATCCAGTGTGCAAGCCCAAGTCAGATCAGCCCAACTCCAAAGCTCCTTTCCTAAATGACCATCCTCGGCCTTCCACAAATGACCCCTGGAGCCCAGCTCAGCCCACAGCTGGGCCTCTGCGTCACTGCAGAGCATTCGCTCCCTGCTTTCTGGCCAACTTACATAGTGCAGGAGGTAGACTTGGGAGCGTGAGTCTCTGCTGTCTTCATGTGAGCATCTGAAATGCCACTGCCATCATCTTAATGCGTGAAGGTGCATAACATACAGTAAGTAACTGAATCAAGTAAGAACCGTTTCTGTTTGAGGCGGAAGAGAACAGATTGCCTGGCCTCTAGGGGTACAGGACCTTCATTAACTAGAATGGCGCCTGCGGGTGGGATGAGCCATCCTGACTTAATGAATTTAGCTGGTCATCCTGTTTTCACTTAAAAACCAAGAGCAGCATTCAGTCAGACTGTCTGGAGTACGGTAAAGATGATTTTATTCCTATAACTCAAAGGGTGAAAATAATTATTAATTTGTTAAACTGCGGTACTGTCACTCTTTTCTTTCTTTGGTTGATCCAATCTGTGTAAAGGAAGAGACTTTCTTTGGCCATCGGAGTGTTAGATAAATTGCTGGGTTGACCCTTTAGCCAGTTAAAGCATTTATTAACTAGCCTTAGGCAAGGTACTATGGAGGAATATAAGTATAAAACATGGTCTCCAGCCTCAAAGGATTCACTTTCTATTTAAGGAGATAAAAAATAGCGCATGTAGAACTAGTAGAAAGATATGTTGGAGATGTGGGCGTGGCGGCATGATGTTTAGTGTTTAAGCACTTGAGCTGTGGAGCCAGACTCCATTGGTTCAAATCCCAGTTCCACCATTGACATGTGTCTTCAGCAGATCACCTTACCTCTCTCTCTGTGTTGTTTTCTCATCTGTAGAACAGCACTATTATTGGTATCTACCTCCTATGTGGAAAGCTCTTAGCACGAGCCTGGCACTTTGCAAGTGCTCAATGTATGTTTAGCTATTGTGGTAGCTCCTGTTGTCAAGCCTTCAACGGTCGTTTACAGCATTGGCTCCAAGTGCCCTGGCCAGATCACCAAGTGCACAGGCTGGAGTAATCACAGATGACGTCAGGAGGGAAGTGGGACATGAGCTGAGCAGGCTTTAGCTAAGCAAGGGGAAGGAGAAAAGGCATTTAGAACAAGCTAACATAAAAGAAGCAAGTATGGGGCCGGCCCTGTGGCTTGGTGGTTAAGTGCGCGCGCTGCGATGCTGGCGGCCCGGGTTCGGATCCCGGGTGCGCATCGAGGCACCACTTCTCCGTTCATCCTGAGGCCGAGTCCCACATACAGCAACTAGAAGGATGTGCAGCTACGACACACAACTATCCACTGGGGCTTTGGGGGGAAAAATAAAATAAATAAAATCTTTGAAAAAGAAGCAAGTATGATTATGCCAAGTGCAGGGTCCAGGTTATGGGAAAACAAACTAGACTAGATTAACTATGAGTGTGGGGCAACAAGAACCAAAGCGGAATAGATATGTGAAGATGAGGTCCATGAAAACCAGGTCGGGGATTTTGACTGAATGCAGCAGGGAGCCCACTCTGTGGTTGGTGAGGGGAACACATTATGAAGCTGAAGTTTAAAGTAATTAGTTGGAAGGACAGTGAGCTGAAGGCGGGGCACCAGGGCAGGAAGACTGAACAGAGGGATGAGGACCCAAACCAAGTTTTGGCAGAGAGCTTAAACAAGAAAGGGCAATCTGAGAGACATGTCAAAGAGGAGAACAAGAGGCCTTGGTGATGGATTAGATCCAAGGTTTAAGGAAAAGGCAAAGCCCCAGCTGGCTTTCAGGTTTTCCCCCTTAAAGCCTGGCAGAATGGTGATCTGACTCCCAGAAGAGGGATAGTAAGAAAAGGGACTCTGTTTACATCTTAAAATATTAAAGTGAGAATAAACTTTGTAAGTCAGTCATTTAGTAAAATTTTCCACCTAGTACAAGAATCTCCTTTATAATAAAATATCTTATTCATAGTAAGATGATTTGGTGAAAAAATAAATTTAGATTAATAGTTGCCACATTTGACATAAAAGTGGGAGACACCCTACAGGTCTTTTCCTTTAACATTTGCTGATCAAGAGCCAAGACTTCAGATGAGAGACAAAGTGTGTCTGGTGTGTCCAGCCCAGTTCACATAGAGATGGTGGGCAGGGTCAGTCATGAGGGAGGGTGTGGGAATCAGCAGAGAGAGAAGAGCCTGCAGCACTGTGGCCTGGCAGACACCTGTAATTAGAGAGTGGGAGAAGGAAGAAGAGCCTGCAGCAGAGACAAAACAAACGCTTGGAAAGAAAGGAAGAGCATCAGGGAAGAAAAAACTCAGAAAAAACAATTCATTTCTCATAGAAAAGTTTGAGCTTTGCAAAGTGTTAGAGTATGTTGTTTTACTCCTTTGTTCCTGAGATTATTGGTATTATTCAAATGTGAAAGGTGCGCTAAAATAGCACAAATGTGACTGGAGCCGCTAGTTAAATAAACATGATGACAGAAGTGACAATAGAAGCATAATCTACCCAATTGCTAATGGCGAATAGACACCCATGGGCCTTGACATGTCATGATGCTTTTCAAGAGTTTTGAAAAGTCAAAATACTTTTCACATTCTGTCTCATCACAAATCGTTGTCAAGGTAATGATATGTTGTCTTCCGTGTTTTAAAGACAAGGAGAAAGAGTGAGGGGGGGTGTCATCACACTGCTGCTCACAAGCTCCAGTGGCTTCCCACCACACTTAGGATGGGGTCCCAAGTCCTTAGTGTGGCTTGCCAAGCCCCACAAGATCTGTCCTTGTAGCACATTTTATTATTCTTTATAGCATTTGTCACTGTCTGACGTACATAATGGCCACTCATTTGTTTTCTCTCCTTCCCCAACTAAGCCACAAGCTCCATGAGAGCCAGGAGTTGAGGTCACTGTTGTATCCCCAGTACTAAGTACAGTGCCAGGCACAAGGGGGAAACTCCAGAAATATTTATGGTAGGAAAAGAGAGAACAAAACCAGCCCAGCAGAAATTGGGTTTTTTGTTGTTGTTTTGTGGACAAACTTTGGTAGCTGAATAAATCCACAACCCCCCTCCTTTCTCTTACTTAAAGCGTGGGTGATTATCAACCTTGTTTTAAATGAGAAAGACCAGGGCCCCGTGAGGGTGAATGATCAGCATCCGGTCACCTGCTTTCTTCCCAGTCTGTTTAGAAAAGGATTCTCTGCTTTCTTTGGCTGTGAACACTCCCAAGGCCTCTGGCCCCCTTGTCTTTCTGCTGATACAGCCCCCCAGCTGCAACCCAGTGAACTGGGCCCCAGGATCCTCACAGAGCAAAGTCTGGGGTTCCTTCCACCTCAGACAGATTCACTCAGACCCAAAGGGGATCCGAACACACTCCATTTGGCACTAAAAACGCAGAGTTTTCCAGGTGTTTTCAAGTTTCATTAGTGTGTGGCAGATGCTTTTATGCTCATTGGCATTTGTTAGAACCCTTACCAGATGGTGATGGACAGTGACCCTGGTCACTGAGGACAAGGAGCAGGGAACTGAGAATAAGCCCCATCCGGAACTGTGGTTGTTCAGCCTGGAAGGGGAGGCAGGAAGGGCTGATCAGCTGTCCGGTTACTCAGTCATTCATTCACCACCTCTTTATCTAGTTTCTTCTGTGCACCAGGGACTGGGCTCAGTACTGGAGATATGGTGGCCATCCAGAAAGCCATGCTCCTCCCCTCAGGGCCAGTGTCTATCTACGGAGAGAGATGCATTTCAGACAACAATGTATTCATTGTACTTGAAGAGTAACAGCTACAAAGAACAAGCTGCTCTAGCAGCACAGAGCTGGGGAACCTACCCCAGTCTTAATGCTCAGGCAGAGGTTCCCTGTGCAAGGACAAGAACAGAGGAGCAGGAGTTACCCATGGGGTGGGAGTGGGGTGGGGAATTTCAGCAAAGGAAACAGCCTATCTCGTGGCCCTGCAGCAGGTGGGAGAGGTCAGAGAAGGTCAGTGGAGAGGTTGAGGTAGGGAGGGGAGCAGAGGAGGAGAAGCCCAGGATAACAAGAAGAGGCTGGAGAAGTAGGGAGGAGGGACCAGATTGTGCGTGTGGGCCCATTGCAGGGAGTCCAGGCAGGTGACAGTGAGCGAGTGGGGACTAGAGTGAGAGTAGTGAAGAGGAAGAGGAATGGACATGTTCAGGGGTATGACATGGACTCGGTATGGAGGATGATAAAGCAGCAAGGGCGAAAGATGACTCAGTAAAGATTTCTTGAGCTCCCTCTCTAGGCGGGCCTGTGCTGCTATCTTTTAAATTTTATTTATTTATTTTTTTTCCCCCCAAAGCCCCAGTAGATAGTTGTATGTCATAGCTGCACATCCTTCTAGTTGCTGTATGTGGGACGCGGCCTCAGCATGGCCAGAGAAGCGGTGTGTCGGTGCGCGCCTGGGATCTGAACCCGGGCGGCCAGCAGCGGAGCGCGCGCACTTAACCGCTAAGCCACGGGGCCGGCCCCTGTGCTGCTATCTGAGTGCACAGTGATGCACAGATAGACACAGCATCCAGATGAGGAAGAGTCTCAGCAGCCTGATATCATCCACTAGGCAGTTTACAAGGCAGCAAACCCTGAAAACGAAGCAGAATTGTGGGGAAGAGAAATTTGGGATGTTGTATTTGAGAGGCCGTTTGAGACCTCCCAATGGAGAAATTGAGAAGGGAGTTGGTTAAACAGGTCAGGAACTCCGGAGGGAGGGGGGGAGGTCCATGTGGTGATACAAATGCAGGCATCATGGGAGTCAGGGCGGTCCTTGAAGCCAGAGGAGCGAGTAAGACCCCTGTTGTTACATAAAGCTTATGACCACTGGCTTGTTTCACATCTCAACAGACTTTAGAGAACAGGATTGAGACGTTTATAAGAAATTGTTATTTAACACACTAGTGTATTTACTCACCACAGAAAATGATTCAGCCTAAGGCTAACTGGTCCTCTATGCTATTCCAGGGGGGTAAATGCTTAGAGTAAAGATACTCTACCTGTCTGGTGGTTCCAGGACATGGGCCCCAGTGACAGCAGCAGGTCAAGCTTTCAGCAATGAGTTTACCTTGGGAGGTTGGTAAAATCTGCAAACACTGTTGGAAAACATTCACTGGAAAAGATGCTTTCCAGTCCGTCATAAATATATGTATGTTATGTATGGCCTTTGTCTATGGGCTTTAAAGAATCCTAACTGTTAAAGTAATTCAGTAAGAAAGAAAAACTAGAGTGATGATAATTCCTTTATTTTTTTAGTTCATCTAAACGTTGAACAGTACACTGAGTGTTACTGTGTCCTCCAAAGCCCATGATATTAGTGGCACAGATCATCCATCATGTCTGCATAGTTTGCCACATTTCCTCCAATAAAGTGCAGAGGAGAGGAAATTGTATTGGCATCTGAATCCTGCTCCCAAACAGGAGAATTTCAAGAGCAGTGAATCAGCTAGTCACGTAACAATACCAAGTTCATTGTAGGGTGGGTCTCTTGACATTGGCTCCTTTTTTCCTACAAATCCGTGCTGCTTAGAAGATAACTTTGATCCTAACCTTATGCCTGCTGCGATATCTGCGAAACAATCTGCGAGGACAGAACTTTATTTTCAAGGGAAAGGCAATGTTTACACCCAGGAGATCTTTCTTCCGGGTTTCCGAGCTTTCCTGACTTCACCCAAAGATAGAGGCCATCGCAGCCCCCCGCAGGGCCACCTGTGGGATTGTATAGGTCATACACTGGATGACCTTTAGGACACTGTTCATGGACTAGGGTTTGCAGTGTGCAACCTGCATATCCATTTGCAAAGATCCTTTCAAAAACCCCTGGTGAACTCGCCCCCATTTGGAGCAGCATCTGTACCCTCAGGAAGTGGGAAACCAAGATGAGAGGAAATAGAGGTAATGAGATGAGTAGAAGAGTGAGCATCGATTAGTTCTTGTGTTGAAACCCAAGTTAATGATTAATAGCTAGCTTATCAGTGCTTTAATTTATTAACCTTTTGTCTTCCTTGAAAAGGAAAATATGAATTGTCTTTAAAGAAGCTTCTTTTGTCAACAGTGGCTGCCATTTTAAGACAAAAAGTAGAAGAAATTGGACAGACATTCATTTTTTTTCCCTCCAAACTGTGTTAGGTGTAAATACATTGCTTATCTTAGAAAGAAAACTAATATAAAATAAGTGTATTTAAGTAAGCTCCTGCTAATAAGTCAAAGAACATATCTATAAATGATTTCCTATCAGAGATCTTTTATAGCCTTTGTTTTAACTTATTTTTTGAAAGTTTATATAATTCTTGTTGTAGATGATATAATGAGAAAATGATAAAGCAGATTAGTACAATTGGCTGATATATTAACAGTTTTTTTTTTTTTTTTAAATCTGCAATTATGAAATCTTCTCTGGAAAAATCCAAAATGACTTTATCCAAATTTTCAATAGTTTACTTTCGGCAACACGCACACGGTCACCGATGTCGAATGATTCCAAGAAGGGGAGAAAGGCTCCATTTGCTTGTCATTTTATTTACAGGATTTGTGTCTGCACAGTGCAGAAAAATGTTCTGTCTGCTTCGAAGATGGACATAGATTTCCAAGCCATTTGGCTCCAGAGATGGTGTAAATAGGAATGAATTTAATATACCTTTAAATCTCTGAAATAAGAGAACTCCAGCTGAGGTTTGGTCCAGGGCAAAGTCTGTTCTCGACACTGAAGAAAATCTATCACATTAATCCCAGCGGCTCAGAGTCCGAAGCTGCGTGAACAGAATGCTGGAGGATAGGAAGTGTGAGAAGAATGCTTTGAAAGAAACTTTAAAAACAAAATGACTCTTCAGAGAATACCAGGCCTTGTGTGGAATCATGTAACACTTAAGCAAAGATATAAATAATTATGCTTGAGAACATAGCTAATTAAAAATAACTCAATGCATAAGAGGAAAAGAAAACTATAGAATAACTTTTCTGCTCCAGTGTTAATGGGAGATGCCATATAATGAAATAGCAGGATTTTTTTTATTATTTCATTTCACACCGGCATAGAAGAGATGGAGAGGAAAATTATATTGCCAGAAAATGCCAGGGTAGATTTGCTAAAGATGTTATCATATACTGTATTTAAAACAAAAATCTAATTGCTGTCATTTATCATGCCTCTGGTTATTAAAACCGTGCTAATTTAAAGATTTTAATCATTTGCCACTTTTGCACATTTCATAGACGATACTATGAAAGTTTCTGATTTTGTCAGCCTTTGTATGATTTTTTTAGGAGCTCCTAAGTAAAATTAACATGCTTTAAACATATAATTGTATTTATATCCATAATAAAAATTCCTTGTTTTCCTTTTAGTTTGTTCAATGAAATATCTGGAACTGCTTTATAATTGCTGAGCCTGATGTGTGAGAGCAGAGACTGCTGAATCAATTTTAACTCCCTGTACACACATCTAGCCTTGTAAAGGGCAGGGTAGACCCCACCCTTCCTTTTGGATTGGAGAGAGGATTCTTTTAATGATGGGAGCAATTTGAAAGAAAAGATTCTACTGACTTGGGCATGAATATGCTCCTTGGTCTTGAGAAATCAGAGACTCATAAGACAGTCATTGAAGCAAGAGTACTCTTCAAAAACAAGCATTCAATAGTACTCTCTCTGGCTGGTAGGGAAAGGTAGGGAGATAAGCTAGGGCTCACACAGTGCAGAAGAAACTATCCCAGAATTAAAAATGGGCACTATCTGGGGGAAGGGTGGAGGGAAGAAAGAGTGTAGGGAGGGAAGGAGCCAGAGGCGAAATCATTTCTCTGCTGTGGGTGTGTGAGGCCTTGGGGAAATATAGCCCATTTCAACATAACACATGGGCTGCAGCAAATTGTCTCCACCCTGGGAGAAGCGTGGTGGTTTGATCTGGTTTTCATGCACCTCGGTAAGAGCAAATACAATCTTATATACTAAAGGATCCATGGGAGTAACATTATGATTTAATACTATGTGTATTTATTAAAATATAATATTATTTCAAAGCAAAACAAAAAATATATAAATTAGTTTCCTAAATCACAAGTCAGCCCCACTTCCAGACCACACCTATAACATCAATATGGTCGAAGATTCAAGTTCTAGAAGCCAGAGCTTTAACGGGCTTTGAAGTCCAACCCTTTGATCTGAAAATTAAAATTAAACTGGCTTTAAGGTCAGAGAGCCAGGACTAGACCCACAGCTTCTCAGTCCTAGTCTGTTCCTTGTTTCACCTCCTTCCCATCCTTTCTGAACCTGCTCCCTGAAAGCGCCTTCGGAGCGCTTTTTCTTCCCCAGCCCATACTAATACGATGCTGTCTGCCTGACGAGTAACCAGGTGTTCTTCCCACAGGTGCAAAGTTCCCCATCAAGTGGACGGCCCCCGAAGCAGCCCTGTACGGGAGGTTCACAATCAAGTCTGACGTGTGGTCTTTTGGAATCTTACTCACAGAGCTGGTCACCAAAGGAAGAGTGCCGTACCCAGGTAAGAGCAGGACCCAGCAGGAATGGGCCTCTGATCAGATGCTCTTTGTGCACCACTTGGGGAAACCTCACCCCATTTGCCTTCTAAGCCCCATCCTCAGCTTTCTGCCGAGCATGAGTTTGAAGAACGTGGACAGGTATTTAGCAGAACCAGAGAAAAGCCACCGTGGAATGTAGACCAACAGCCACCATGAATCGTGTGCCAGGATTAATGTAATTAGCAGCTGGTATGGGTACTTCAGTCCACCCCAGTTCATAGAGTCTCTCCTCTCTCAGTAAGAGTGTGTGTCTGTGGCAGAACCTCCGCCCAAATGGAGCTTGCAGATGCTTCTGAGAAAGAGGAGGAAAGCCCCCAGTGCTTTTTGATTACTCTGTAGCACTGACCCATGGAGTGGACCTGGCAGAAAGATGGCAGGACCTGTTCTCGCTGCAGGCCCCAACTCCAGATGGCCACAGAGAGCAGAGGCTCATGAGGAACACAGTGCAGAGGCCACTCACTGCCCGTTTCTGAACAATTGAAATATGCTATACAATAGCAAGTATAATGTAAAGAAATTGGAGATTCTTAGGCCCTGGAGTTTTTCTGGATTATCAGATTCATGCTTTCCGAAAAAACCACGGGTTTTGGTTCTCCACACTTAAAGTCATTCATTTAGACAGATGGTGACGTAAAGGACACTCATGCCATTTCACCTCCATGCTTTAGCGGTTATAGCGCAGGGACAATCCGCTTTCTGAAATGTTAAGGACATATTTTTCACTTACTGCTGAGAAAAGAAAGAACATCGCTCCCCCTCATTCCCTGCCTAAGAAAGGAGCTTAAAAAAAAAAATGCAGTGATAGAACCGATAGTGGAGATTAATGAGGAATTGATGTCTCTTGCAAATCCTGGGTTTGTAGTCCTATCTTTGCAGTCAGAGGAGCCAGCGAGGGCAGATTAATTTGTAATCCCTTTGTTCATTTTGTATGATTGTTTCTGGCCATCTTCAGAGAATGCAGAGAAGTAAAGAGGATCTCTTTCTGGATTGGTGTAGCCTCGAGACTCCTAGGAGAGCCAGGTTGGCACAGAGGCCAAATTGACAAATTCCCCGTCTCTGCAGTGCCGGCCCTGAGCATTTAGAGATGCGGTGGAGGTCAGCTTTATTGATGCTGTGGCGGCCGCTGGTCCCAGCAGGCACAAGTGGGCAGACGCTCCGGGAATAGCCAGCCAGCCCGGAAGAAAGGGCTGCCCTGGAGGGGCCTGGAGCCCAGCATGGGCCTCTTTGAGTTGCCTCTCGGGGGGAGGAGATGTGCAGGTCTCGGGATTTTGAAGATGTGAAGGCCTCTCTTTTTTTATTGTCTGAATTTTGAACTAATTTCTTCTGAGCCCCCCAGGTTTACAGTCACCCGGTGTGTTAAATGCAATTGGAGAGAAAAGGTTAATGTTGTTTTGGGTTTCTGTGAAGCTTTTCCTTCCAGTAATACAAAGCCGCTTTTTGTTTCTCAGGGTCGCACACAGAAGCCGAGACAAAGGGGTGGGGGTGGGGGCCCTCAGAGAAGGAAGGCAGGTGTGTGTTTCTGAGGGAGAGCCCTTTACCAAGTTTGGTTTTCGCGTAAAGAAAATGGCCTCATTTTACAACTTAGACTAGGATTCGTTCACTCGGCACGGCATCGGTAAGTGTGAACTGTGCCAGGCTTTTTGCTCTGCCTGAGAAGTGAGTTCAAATAAGACACTCACACTCTCAGCAAACATTGATTAGAACCTTCTTCAAGGTAGGCACTGTTTCAGGTGCTGGGGATAGAACAGTGAGAAAATAAATAAATTTAGTCCCCGCGCTCATGGAGCTTACAGTCAGGTACATAAAATATGCATCAAACCCAGGAAGAAATCAGCCTTTTTTGTTATTTATTTACTATTGTAGGAAATCATCCTCAAGGGATGGAATACTTGAATTTACCCACTGTGGGCCCCAAGTCTTAATTCTAACAATGGGATCAGAGACGCCTCATTCAAGTATCTATGTACAGCAGGTGCTGAGAGGGACCTTGCACTCAGAATCCTGTGAGGATGGCAAAGGTGTTTGAAATGAGAACTCAGTCCACTTTATTATGCTTAGTTATGTACTACGAGCAACTGCTGATATGCAGGGGGCTTTGATGACCACTGTAATTCTGTGAGGTGATGGAGAGAGCGCACTGTATCTGGAAGCTTCATGGAAAAGAAGGCAAGTAGGGTTTCCTCCTCAAGTTGAGGAAGAAGGAAGAGTGGGAAGGCACCAAGGCCGAGGAGGACAGCACCGGTTCAAAGAGCTGCAGGATAGTGAGTCCTAGGAAAAGAAGGCTGTGAGGCGAAGTACCTGGAGGTGCGGCTGGAAAGGCTGGCCAGAGCCTGTGGTGAGGGGCCTGTGCGCTGCCGTGGGGAGGCCCTGGGGCCTGGCTGGTGGTAGCCGTGGCCAGGGAGCTGTGTCCGTGGGGGAGTGACATGAGCTGCATCTCACTCACAGAAAGCCACAGAAAATTGTTCCCAGGCCTGTTCCGAGCTGTGAGTGCTTCTTGTTTTTGTTTTTAAACATAGCTATAATCATATTTAATTGAACTTCTGAATCTCACAGTACATTCTTCTTGAGGGAGAAACTTTTACAGAGGGATTCCAATTATAGGATTGGAATTACCTTATTACCTTAATGAAGGATAACAATTCCTAAGGAACAGACAGTTTCATTAAGCTTCGTTCAGATGTCACTGTGAAAGGCAGGACCTTCCTCTCTGCATCCTCGCTGTCTGCTGGTGTGGCCACGTGAGTCCGCATGTGTGGAGGTCTCTGCTGCAGTGAGTGCTTGTGCCTTGGCGGTGCCCCAGCACAGCCTCCGCATCCCTGTCCATCAGGACTTCCATTCTGACATCTGGATGTAGTAACTTCTCCGTTGGCTGAAGTGTATTTTCTAGTAATTCTTTTTTCAAGAACAGTAGGTGATGGCACATTTTCCCGAGTTTTTTCATACCTGAGAATGGCCTTCTGTCGCCTTCACACACAGGGAAGGTACTTTGATGGGTAGGTGAGGATGGAGGTCGAGGGAGGGGAAGGTGACTTATAAATGGGTTTTATGAAAGCTTTCCTGGCTGTTTGCCCAGCATGAAAGAAGGTCCAGAAGTAAGCATCAGAGAAGGAACTTAGAATGGAGTATGTGAGGGGTGACCAAACGAAGGGCAAAGGGCATGAGGAGAAAAAACATGGGATTGGTTGGTTAGTTAGCAAGTTTTGTAAAAGGTGGGGAAGAAGGACAATCTCAAATTGAATGAGAGCCTTGAAGCCAAAGAAAAAGTACTGAACTGTGACGCTAAGATGAGCAGGGAGATCGTGGAGAGGAGTCACATCACCCGACCAGATGAAGAAGGCTGCTTCTAGGTTGGGTAACAGAGATGGACACACTTCCAGAGAACAGCTCCGTTTCGCAAATTCCCTAGTAGCAGCCTGACCTGAATGCATTCTCAGCACTGTAAGTCAAGGTTCTGTAAGCCAAGAGTCAGAATCATTCTTTGCACCAAGATTAGAAGTGATTTTGTACTGATGGCTTGTTGTATATGAGAAATGAAAGCACTTAAAAGCAGTTTTCTGGGGTCGATGCATAAAACCGGAGCTATACATTTTAACCTATCATTGCACCTTCATATCCTTCTTTTCCCCTTTGTGTCCGCTGCCACTGCCCCATATCGCACTGTCATCCACTTGTACAGTGACCTCTTCATGGGACTTCCTGCTTCCGGTCCCCACCACCACCACCACCATTCTATCATTGTCACCGCCAGAGTTATTATCCTAGAAAACGCAGACCTGGTTATCTTACTCTCCGAGTTAAAAACATCTGTGGCCTCCCCTTGTCTTCCAGATAAACTCCAGAAGCCTTAGTTTTGCACAGTCCTTCATAATTCTTTCCTTCAGTCATTCCACAAATATATATTGAGCACCTGCTCTATGCCAGGGACTGTGCGGGCACCAGGAGTACAGCAGTGAACCACCAGACAGAAACTCCTGCCCTTGTAAGCTTCTACACTTCTTGGAAGAGACAGACGATAAACAAAGATAAATAAGCAAAATATGTTCAGTCTTGGCTGGTGGTAACGGGTAGGGAGAAAAATAAAACGGGAAAGGGGATAGAGGGTGTGAGGAGAGGGCGGCAAGGGAGGCCCTCATTGGGAAGGAGACATCTGAGTAAGACCCGAAGGAAGCCGGGCTAAGCCAGGTTGATATGTCAGGGAGGAACCTTCCTTCAGAGGGAACCAGAGCACAGAGGCCCTGAAGAACTGCAAGGAAGCCAATGTGGCTGGAGCAGAGGGAGCAGGGGGTCCGAGTGGCCCCAGGGCAGATCAGATAGGGCCTCCAAAGTTAGAGCTTTTGCCTTTACTCTTAGTGAGATGGGGAGTCCCCGAGGGGCTTTGAGCAGATGACATGATCTGACTTATGATTTCTCTCTTGCAACTCCCCCACCATTCCCACTACGAGATCTCTCTCAAACATGCAAATCTCTTCTCAGCTCCACTGTCTGCCTCAGAATCCTTCAAAGCCCAACCCAAACATCACCTCCTTTGTGTAGGCTTCTCCATGTCCAGACCAAACGGGTTGCCTCTTCTGCTTGCCTCCATGACACCTGGTACACCTCTGTTGAAGCCCTTGTCTATGTGTCTCTATTTCTCGGTAGCTCTGAACTCTTTGAGGTGAAGGGAGCTCCTTTTATGTATTCCCCATGCCCAGCACAGTGTTCCCCATTGGAGACTCTGAATAAGTGTAAGCGGATGCATGGATAGGACAGGGAAAAAAAAAAAGATTATGCCTATGAGGTTTTGGAAACGAGATATTTTAATTTGGCCCATAGTCTGCAAGGCCTTTTAACTCTATTCCATCATCTCCACACATAAATATAGCATATATTTTCCCAGCCACGAGATGGCTTCTGTCCTCAGAGTTGTTCTGGGAAATTGACCCTGTAGTCAGTTCAACTCCATGTTCCAGCACCATTGGAGGCA